ACTTGTTTGCTTTTATATATTACTGTTTCCTTAGTTTTCTTGTTTGATAGTTCTATATAAATGATTATATTAACCCTTTACTGCCATGGAAAATGAATAAAAAATGGAAAATGCTGTTCTCATTTTTATTTTTTTTTGTGAAATGTCTCTACACATAGATGGCTCTGCCTTACGTGATTTCATCTTTCCTTGAATTGGTGGGAAAATGTATTTTTTACCTGTGCTATGTAATTCTTATTATAAACAATATAAGTACTATAATGTTATAAACATTAGTAATAACAAAATAAGATAATGTAAAATATTTTCGTAAAATAAAGAAAAGGGTAAACGGGCGAGACAGGCAGTACTCGTAATTGGCTCATTGGTGGCTTAGTACAAGTGTAGCCATCTATGTGTTAAAACAATCAAATAAGTAAACTCACAGTGGGCATGGCATGCCCATCAGCACTGGGTCAAGTCATTTTCTAGAATAAGAGTGCATCCTGAAATGTATTGAATTTTCTGTCAATAGTTGCCTCACAATGTGTAGTGTACATTTAGAGTTGTCTGTACATTATAGAGTTTGTGCAGTTATAGTTGTTTTAGTCACTAGATAACAGAAGTAACAATACAAGACCTGATAGAAAGGAGGGCAAGGAGGTATGGAGGGGTTAGATTATGCAGTATATATGTATTTTGTCATTTTTAAATAACAAAATACATAAATGTTGCATATATACATAAATTCCTTAAAATCCCTTAAACCCTTCATTTTGCATGCTTTTATATGGAAAAAAATAGGGATGCAGATGCACAGCAGACAATTACTCACATTCAGAAACCTCACCTTTTCGGTAGTGGTCTGGAAAAGCAGACCTCCACTAGGGTGGCAGTGGACCCTGTTTTTTCTTAATAACTCCAGTGGAAAGATGTCTCAACAGTAATAGGATGCAATACTCAGTAGCTCAGTAGTAATTGTCTGCAATGCCAGGCAGCTTGATTGTAACTGGTTGCATTGTGAGGCAGCATGACAATATTTGGCTATGTGACATGAGACAGTGTGTGGTAATTGGCTGATGGGTGTGAGATGCTTTCAGGTCTAGCTATACCGGAGACACAAGAAACTCTCCATTATAGATGTTTGAAGTGTGTCTGAATATGAGTGAATGACAAATCAATAATGTTACAAATGACAGTATGATGGTAGAAAGTTATTCTTCAGTCTAGCTTGTAGTGGTAGAGTCTGTGGTGTAATATTTTTGGCCTCAGAGAACACAGTAGGCAAACTAACTGGAGTGTTCAAAAGATGCCCTGTGATTTTGCTTGATTGTAATTGATGTTTTTGAGTCCAGTAAACAAGAAGAGACAGTGACATACAATGTTGGTCGTAATTCTTATCTGATTTAGGATCAAAGCTTACCTCAATGCCAATGGGGGACTGAACAGTAGTTCTTATATTCTATGTTGTAATTAATTATTTTTGCTCAAGATGAACTAGCTTTCAGCATATACTCTAATTGATGTCTCTCTTACACATCAACAGAAAAAAAACATGTTTGCATGTTAAAATTTCTTGTTATTCAGAGGGTGTCTTGAAGTGAAAATTGGGAATTAAATGCAATATTTATATTTGAATTTGGAATAGATTTTAACCTTGGAGTGTACTGCAAATGATTTTTTGATTGATTCTTGTAAAAGAAAAGAATATAGCCCTTTTCATTAACCCAGTGCCCGCTGGTGAAAAATGAATAGTGCTTAGCCAGAAAGGAGTCCATTAGTAGACTTTCTGACCTTACCTGATTTCACCTTTCCTTGAATTGGCAGGAAAAAAGCATTTTGTTACTAATTCCATGAATATCAGTGTTGTTATTTTTATTATAAACCTTATAATTAATATAATGTTATAAACTTGAGTAACAGCAAAATAAGATAACGTAAAATATATTTGTAAATCAAAGAAAAGGGTAAATGGGCGAGACAGGCAGTACTCGTAATTGGCTCATTGGTGACTTAGTACAAGTGTAGCCATCTATGTGTTAGAACAATTAAACAAGTAAACTCACAGTGGGCATGGCATGTACATACATGCCATGCTTGTTGGCATTGGGTTAAGAAAATAGGGGCTGATGAAAATTTTTATCCAAAAAAAAAAAAAAAAAGGCATATCCTTGGAAAGGGCCATTTTAACCATCACTTACAGTTTACCACATTTCACCTATATTATGCAGTGTTTAATAGGAAATACAACAAGTCAGCAAATACCAGAGATGACAAATAAACAATGTACTCACCATGTGGGATATACTCTAAGTATTCCTGTCATTGTCAGAATAATGCTTGGGAAATCTTAAGGTCTGGGTGAAATGTTAGATACTAATTGTAGTTGATTCTTTTTACCTTCAAATGTTCTTGGATAGCATATCCCAAGAGTCTCATAGGTTGTGGCACTGCCTTTTGCCATTCTGATATTGCCATACTGCTAGTGCTTGGAATGATAGCTGCACATTGGTTATGATTATTACTGGTCATGATTATTACTGGTTATGATTATTATTATACTTTTTGTTGATAATAAAGAACATATCAGGCACCTCAATCTTCTGCTCCATATCCAGAGTATTGCTCAAATGCTTACTGAGTTTGACATTTACAAAGTGATTAGATGTGATATTATACCTGGAGTACTCAGTATTCTAGAGATTAAAACCTCTCCATGGTATTACTTTATTAAAATGATAAATATTAAGAAAACTACTACTGGCCTCTAGTAACCACCTTCAGAATTCACCCTTCTTGCCAATCTTATGCACATTATGGGCCACTTTTACTGGTAAATAGATGCTACAGATAGTCAGCATGGCTACTGATTAGGGAAAATTTGGCTGAGGGCTGGGGTGACAGGAACTTGCTATCATGAGAATTTTTGCTAAAAGCCAGGGTGATGAGAATGACTCTCTATGAGGAGTGCACTAAGCTCATGGAGGGTGATTAGGCATATTTGGCATTTAGGAAGAGACCATTGCATTATTTTCATTGACAAATGAGTGTGGAATGTACCATCAGTGAGGAATGACTGGAGGAGTGTAGGCTTCAGAGAGAATGCAATTTCCATGCTCAGTATCTTATTTCTGCCCGCCATGATTGGTACTGGTAGTACTACAGAAAAAAGAAATTATAAAAAAAGAAATAACAAAATGTTACTTATTGTTATTATTATTGCACTGAGATATGGACTACCTAGAGAGATGATATGGAGCAGGGCCGGATCCAGGATTGTTAGAAAGGGGGGGCGTAACCCCTAGCCAAGACGATTGCGAGTGGCGAAGGCACGAATCCTAAGCGGGATAGAAAGTTTCTATCAATTATCCCTTCTATTGCTGAGTTGGACTTTTCCTACCTATATCCCACGTCCTTCCCTGATGATGTCTAAAAAATTCCTGGTTCAAAAAAAATCATTACTCTGCCAAAAATAGGGGGATGTGGACCCCCCCCCCCCCCTGGATCTGGCCCTGTGGAGTCTGTGCAAGGAAATCAGTATTATCATCTGGATGAAACAAATCAAATGTCAAATATAGATATTGGGAAATGGCAAAAAAGCTAAATATGCTTATGCAGAAAAAGAGAAAATAACTGTTCAAAAGCAAGGAATTGAGTCTTGTCACCACACACGAGTGTTCATGTATGCCCAGCCTACAAGCTACTAAAATAAGCCTTATTTTGGGCCACTTGCAAGCTGTGAAGCATCACCATCATTAACTCTACAATCCATGGGCAGGTGTCTGACATATAATATAGCATATTTTGATGATAAACCTGTACAAAATATTTTGGTGTTTGGCAACACTTTTTTCTCATGTTTGTTGTGCAGATGCATAGAAAGATATAAAGTAGACAAACACCTTTCATTTATCTACTGATTTATCTACTGCCTCCATATCCGAGGTAATTGGTTAAAAGGAAAATTCACTGTTAACTTCTCTGATTGGTCTTATTGGCAGATGAATCACACTATCTTCCTGTTGCTCTTTTTTGTACAACCATGAGGCAAAATATATAAACACTTGCATACTGGATCAGATATGACCATGGATCATAGGAATATCTTGATGTAAATATGTTTCTGTAGTTTTTGTTTTCTTTATTATTATCATTTAGTAGTTATATTATTATCATGTTTATTAGGAAAGGGGAAGAGTGATAGGAGGCAAGAGGTCAGCAGGTGAAATTCAATTTAAGAGAGGAAAAGCTAGTTTTTCCTTGTTTATTTTACTTCATCTCCTGTCTTACTGCCTATAGCTTTCAAAATAAATGTTAAATTTCAGTCAGAATGTTTTTATACTCATCATTGATAGAGAATGCCTGTCAACATGTATATATTGTTTCATATATATATTTTCTCCTTTTCTTCAGATTATGACATGATAAGGTGAAAAGATGTCTCCCCTGATAGATGTTACAAACACTGCTGTGGGCCTGCAGGTGGAGTCGAGCACTAAGAGAAGTGTAAAACAACAGAGGGCTTGTGCAAGAGGGCCAGATGTTAACCAGCAAAGCAAGGTCAACAAGAGAGGATTGCCAGAGAGAGTCAAGGCAAAGGATGAAGCTGTGGCAATAAGAAAGTGCAATACTTGGATGGGTGGCCCAGCAGGTGACATGGCTGGGGGTGGAGCAGGTTGCCTGGCTGCATTCCCATCCACTAGCCAGTGTCCAGCTGAGGTAGGTCTACCACGTGTTCCTCCACTCCCTCAAGCAGCTGATGCATTGTTGTCACAGGCAGTGCAAGCACTCAGTCTGTCACCTCCCAGTAGCAAGACGAGGACCCGTGCACACAGAAGACTCAGCAGACACAGAGCTACAAGCCAGCAGGAACATGATGAACAAGCTTCAAATAATGTAGTGTTGAATTGTAGTAATAGTGGTCTTCCAGAGAATTCACAAGAGAGCACTGGCATAACTACCCCAAAGCAGTGCGGAGCATGTGGACTCGAGTTCACATCCACTCCCGTCCTGACACAACATTTGGTCCGTCATGTTTATGATGGGCTTTATGCAGCGCAGTGGCTAACTCAGGCAATAGGCCTAGTGTCCAACAACAGGCAGTTGGGGGAAGGGCCTAGCCAGTCCATTTCCTCAGAGGACACTGGGGAACACAATGCAAGTCAGGTCCCACAGCAATACAGCCAAACATCTGCCACAGGGCATTGAAGTGTGAGGGGGTGTTCTTTCGAAGTAATAGCCATGGTCTGTGGGTGTGTTTGGCCAGTTTGAATCAGGGTTTTCTTTTTACTCTCTTTTTTATTTTTAAATAATTATCAGTTTTATATATTCATGTGTGGAAGTGAATTAGATAATATTTTTGTAGAGGTTGCAATTCTTTTTTCTGATTATGAATTGCTACTTTCTACAGAAAGTTCATTTTAAATACATTCTGTTTTCTTCATTCCAAGCAAAGGCCAGATACTTGCATTTCTATGTTTAAATGCTAGATGTTACAATTAAGTGCAATACATGAACTACGTAATGTGTTTGTTAAAAGTTACTGAAACGTATGAAAAAATACATACTTTTAGTTAATGATTTTATCGCCTAACATTGTGTTTATTATTGGTAGTAATGTTGTTTAATTTTTCAGTTGTAACAATAAGACCCCATGTATATCTGTATCCTAGTCTTGATTCAGCTATTTATACTTGTTACTTTTAAAATTGTTAGTAGTTCCTTATCTAATATTTATGTTTTGTGGTGTAAGATATTTTTAACCTCCAGCCGCACTCCACCAGCTGTATTTGTGAATGTCTGAGAGAGAAAAAGTAAATCATGAAGTTTTGTGCTCCATTAAAGTTGTAAGCATATGATTCATTCACTCTATACTTGTGAAGTGTGGCTTCAGACTTAAAATCTATTCCTCTTGTGTTGCATCGTCAACCCTTTTTCAGTAAACATCAGCAGGATGTTGAAAGACCTTGAACGATGAAATGGTAATTTTATTTTGTGCCAGTCTTACTTTTAGCTGTGGTTTATTTCCTTTTTAATTCACTGCGAGTGAGCCTATACCTTGCATTAGTTGTAAGAGGAGTGGTACCAGGGCACGTAACCTGTTTATGGAGAGTGCTGCCACTTGTGTCTTTTTTATTTATTTTTTTTTAACAGAAAGTTGGAAACGATAATGTGAATGTATTTTTTTTTTTTTCTTTAATTAGATAGGAGTGAAGCAATATGAGGTGTAGCCAGCATCTGTTGATAGATATTTTTTCAGCTATATATCATTCCAAGCTATACAATCCTATCTACTAGGATTCAGATGTGTAATTTTATTGAACTGGATATAATGTGTTGCAATGTTATATGTTTTACACTCATGATTTATATTAACAGGGCTTGCAATGACTGTTGATTGAAACCAAGCCTATTAAATGTTAGCAACATTGCTCAAATGTGAAAGTTTTTTTTAGTAAATAACCACTTGGAAGTACTAACTACTACTGGTATGAATGTGATAGATGGATACGAGTTGTAACTACCATTTCTTATTTATTTACTTTGGGATGTGATTTTTTTTTTTTTTTTTTTTGGCTTGAAAATTTAATACCAAAGCCAGCATCTGGATTCAGTTGTATCCATAGAATGTAAGAATGTTTTTATTTTGCATTTTATTTTTATTTTCTTTTGCAAAATGCATGTTTTTTTTTTTCTTTTACTATTCTTCTCTCCTACCCCATTTTTTTCTCTCTGCTTTAGTTTAGTCTCTTGTGCTTTCATGTTTGTTAGTATGTTATTGGTAGGTACTAACCAAAGAACTAACTTGCATGTTCCCGTCTTGAGAAACCTCAGTTCAGTCTAGTACAAACATTGTGAATCATTTACTTATTGCATCAACTTGCTGTTGGATTTCATTTAAAATTAGACTTTTAAACCTTTGTGTTATCAGCATAGAAATTGTTTTCAGAACATAAAAACACTGAAGAATTAAAAAATGAAAACTATGCTCATGATGTAGAAATTGTGTATTTAGTAAATGACAGTAATACCAACTGTGTTCATTACTTTCGACTATGAAAAGGCCAAGCATTACTTCTGTAAAATTAGTATTTGAATGAAAATAACTTGCTACTCTGATAGTACAACTTTTGGTAATTCATACCTTTATAGGTGATCCACTGTCAACGGGTAAGGTAATATGACTGGCCCAACCTCTCTCCTTTACTCTAATCTCACACTTTTATTTACATACTGTGTAATAGTCACCTCTCTTCTGCCCTTATCAACCACAGCACACAGTATGCTAAGAATTACTGTACTTGTGCATGTATGTCTAATAATACCTTGAGAAAGATTAATTAACAATGTCTAGTATATTATAGTTGAACATTCAGTAAGTGAATATCCCCCTCCCCCCATTATCAATGACTAACAGTTGGCCAGTCAAACTTCACCTTAAAAAAGAACTTTCAGGTGTAAATCAGTGGCTCTGCAGGAAATTGTTGAATTTAAATTGGCTGATGCTGATGTCTTTTGAAAGAGTGTATCTTGTCAAGATGAATATCACCAGCATATGAAGTAGTATTCAACATTATATCCTGTTTGTCAGTCTGTACAGACAATGATTACCTATTTGAGAATGAGTAAGTATAATACTGTGTTAATCATCAGTTTTATGGTGAATTTCAGTTTTTTAGAGGCATTAATTATTCATCAGGGAAAACCTTGTTGAAAGAAAAAAGAGCAGCATAATTTTTTACAAATTGTGTTTAATGTCTATTTCACATTTGTTGAAAAAATTGTATAAAGCAGATTGAGATCCATCGTCAAACAGCTCTGTTGTGCTCTGGACTTCATGCATTAATAAACCTCTCCATATTGGTATTTTTCAACACTGACATTAGAGGTCAGGTTACTAGTACAAAACTACCACCTGTTTGTGTATGCACTTTGATTAATAAATTTGTCATTTGTATAGAGTATTTAATTTCCCAAAGAATCAAATGATATATTTTTTTGTACTACCCATGGCTAAAGATCCTTGAAGGAATCTGATGCCAATAGTTATCTACAAGGTTTTAAAAGCTATTTTCATTAACTGCTGGATCCAGGTGCCTCACAGCTGGTGTGGGGACCAAAACTTGTGTGGCAACTTTCCTAGCTGTGGCTTGTAGGTCTGGCCCACAGAATTAATACTCATGTGGTGTATCTTTATGCAATGCTATTACACTTGTTTTTCCTTTTTTGCCACTTTCTAAGGCCTATATTTGTCACTTGTTATGCTGTATCATGATGGTAATAGACTGTTTTTATTGAGCAGATTACATATTTTCTCTTTAGTAATACACTGCGTAGTAACTGTAACAAGAAATGATGTGTTATTTTTGTATAATTCAATTTTCTGTAACACCCTGCACCACTGGTAATGGCAGGCAGGAAGTGGATGTGGACAGTGTCCTCCCTGGAGATGGCTATCTCCCAGGCATGGCTCATGGATGGTATGGTGGAAATTCTGTAGGAGCTTGTGTATGTGCCCCTTCCTGAAGCCCCTTCCTCTCCCTCTAAGTGTTTTGTGCACTTGTGACAAGAGGTTCCTGTCACTTGCTACTCCCATTACAATTTCCCATGATGAAAGATTCCTGTTAGCCACCCTGCTGCCATTATGTCCCCCCATGATAAATCATTCCTGTCACCTGCTCCTCAGCTAATTTTTTCGTGACAATACATCATCATCACCAAGAGCCTATGGTTTAAATATCTGGAAATGATAAGTCTCCTGACCAGGGGAAAAAATTATACTTATTTCCATAATTTATTTTTTGGTAAAAGCTTATTCATTATAAACTTCATTTTGGTAAAAGCTTATTTATTATAAACTTCATAAGTAGTGAATCACATTCTATTACATGGTAGAATTATGCTAAAAATTTTGTGTTTTCTTTAATCTTAAAAATGTTTTGATATCTTTCCTTAAAAACATTATTATATATTCCCACATGAAGATGGTTTGATGTTCCTTAACAATTAAAATAGAATGCTGTACATCAAATAATTGATGTAGCCTAAACTTATAAATGCTAAATATAACATTGTAAAAATTTGATAAAAGCAATACCAGATAAAAAAAATATTCTGATATCTTCACATTTTGATTTTAAAATACAAATTCTGACCATACAAATATACTATAGTGCATCATATTACACAGCAAAATAGATTTTTATATTATACAAACATACCTTTTATATATATCTTATGAAATATGCCAATTATCTATAGATCTACTCTTCTTTATATAACATGTATACTGTTCTTAATCTGAACAGTTCTTGTTTGGAGAACTGTACTTCAGAGGCCATTTGGTACAATAAAAGTTAGGATAAAACCTGGAAAGGAAAAAGAAAGTTTTCAGCATTCATGACTTATGCAAGTTCCAATGAATCGTTAATGGTCTGCAGATAAAAGTGTATTTACTGTCCATGGAATGATGAAATAATTCATATAATAAAAAAAAAAATTTTGTGTTTTCTTTAATCTTAAAAATGTTTTGATATCTTTCCTTAAAAACATTATTATATATTCCCACATGAAGATGGTTTGATGTTCCTTAACAATTAAAATAGAATGCTGTACATCAAATAATTGATGTAGCCTAAACTTATAAATGCTAAATATAACATTGTAAAAATTTGATAAAAGCAATACCAGATAAAAAAAATATTCTGATATCTTCACATTTTGATTTTAAAATACAAATTCTGACCATACAAATATACTATAGTGCATCATATTACACAGCAAAATAGATTTTTATATTATACAAACATACCTTTTATATATATCTTATGAAATATGCCAATTATCTATAGATCTACTCTTCTTTATATAACATGTATACTGTTCTTAATCTGAACAGTTCTTGTTTGGAGAACTGTACTTCAGAGGCCATTTGGTACAATAAAAGTTAGGATAAAACCTGGAAAGGAAAAAGAAAGTTTTCAGCATTCATGACTTATGCAAGTTCCAATGAATCGTTAAT